TATTATTATTATTATTATTATTATTATTATTATTATTATTATTATTATTATTAATACACTATTGGATACTATCATACGCACTTTTTCTACTAATCAGATGGTGTCGATCTCATATAAATGGGCAAGGGATTAAAAAAAAGACATTAAAAATTGTCACTGAGAAGAGCAGATGTTCAAAGGAAAAGAACGACATGAACGGAGTAGACATAAAAATGTTTCGCAATCAAACAATTTCCATACTCTCGTTAAAATGAAATACTACCTCCATTCAAAAGTCACCGGATAGTGCTGGGAGTTTCAAAGGAAACATTAACTCTTAGACCCTGGCAGGTCTACTGAATAGATGCTACATCATTGTTTTGTCATGTTTTCCCCCACTCGCCATGAATAACTGCTTGCCTGTACTGCAGCTCTGTCCTCACAACTGATGATGATGATGATGATGATGATGATGATGATGATGATGATGATGATGATGATGATGATGATAATAATAATAATAAAAATGATGATGATGATGATGATGATGATGATGATGATGATGATGATGATGATGATGATGATGATGATGATAATGATAATAATAATGATAATAAAAATGATGATGATGATGATGATGATGATGATGATGATGATGATGATGATGATGATGATGATGATGATGATGATGATGATGATGAATAGCAATTTGTATTGCACAAATGCCTGCTCAACAGCAAACTCTACGCGCTTTACATTTATAATATTACACCAGTAAACCTGATAACGTTCTGAAACAATCTCAACTTCCTAGGAAGCATAATTTTGCAGTGCAAACTGCCGTTTGACAGGGACAAACTGACTGGCAAGATCTTTCACAAGTACACCCCTAGTCTGTGGCAGAGCCACTGGAAAAAACAAACAAAAAAAACCAAAACCCACAATATTAAACCCAAACTGGGACCGCGAAATCCTTCGGGCCTCTCCAGAAGAGACGAAATCATTTTTACTCGATTACACATCGGACACACGGCCCTAACACACAACACAAATACCTCCTTCAGGGAGATGAGAAGCCGTTCTGTGTCGATATTTTACCATTAGGCACATTTTAACCGAATGTCTAGACTTCAGAGAGAGAGAGAGAGACCCTAAGGAAATACTTTAAATGCAAAAAATTACAAGACATTTTCTCCGTCGTTGTTCCCAACATAATTTTAGATTTTATGAAGGCCATTGGCCTTTATGGGAAATTATAGAGTGAAATTAAATTATTAAAATGTTTGTTGTTGTTTAGGAAAGTTGTTTTAGATTGAAAATATATTTACACTGAATTTTAAATATTTTAACATTTTAAGACCTAACTACTGACCCGAGCCCAGCCGTACAGTGAACTGTTGCGAATAGAACTAACTTGTGTTTCGCGCGCTCATATGACCTTGTGCAGTTGCGAGCGCCGTAAAACCCCATATTAAACTAAAAAGATCTTTCACTGTCCATGGCCGAGAACCCATTCACACGTGGGCGATGTTAGGAAAATTCGTGTTAGATGTCTTCCCAAAAGACACAATACGTCGGGCCTGAGCCTTGAAACCCCGAATCCGTTATCTCACGATTACGAGTCTAACATGTTAACCACTAGACTACCGACGCCCCAAATCAACTCTTCTTTCTTTTGGTGGGTATTTGACTTTTAGCTTGAAATGTTACTGGAATCGGTAAACTTTACATCTGTCTTTCTGCCACACCCCTGATTTTCTGGTAGGAAAGATCTACACCTAGCCTTCTCGGACAAGGGCGAAAAATCTCGGAGGGCCCGTGTGCAAGTTGCGCACGTTAAAGATCCCTTGTTGGTCAAAAGTCGATAAGAGTAGGCTTCGGCCGCCACCCGGGCAAAATTCCAAATTTCCTGCCAACTGAAAATATTAGGTGTGTCCCGTGCGCTCATATGACCTTATGCAGTTGCGAGCGCCGTAAAACACTTTACAAAAACAAAAAACTTTACATAATATTCAAAACAAGATGAACTCGATGCAACAAAGCAGAGAATATGTTTATGCCCTGTAAGGGTTAACTACAATATCGGCTTTCAGAGCGGGCTTATCACTCACATAGTACATTTTTTAACACTGCGGAGAGAGAAGTTATATATCTTGCACTATAATCAGGAAATAGTAAGGAAATTGGTGTCTTCGGAGAGTTGTTTGTGGATAAGGTTTTCAACCAAATCATTAAGGACGGTTTTATTTGGCCCTGTGGTGAGTATTTTGAGAAGTAATGGTAGTAACATAATTTATTATTAATGTTGTTCTTTTGGAATTTAAAAAAAACTTGTTTCTATTTGGATTGCTTTAAATTGTATTCACTGTTTTCGTTTTTAAAAAGAAATACAGTCGAACTGTCCTGGCGGCCACCCATTATCGAGTTGATAAGTGATTGTCTTAGACGAGAAGATGCCTTGAGCAGTGTCGGCATTACTTTAAAAAACGCAAAGAGAGAATGGAAAGTGGTTATCTGTACAGGCGATTGTCTTGGACATGTGGCAGTTCGAGCAGGTTTAAGTGTATAGGCATATGTTTTATCTAGTTCTGTGTTGGTCTGCTGATCATTACTTCTGTTTTTTTCCCACTTTTATCTGTCTGTATATTGTTGCTTGAAAAGGGGGTGGGGGTAAAGGGGACGGGCAAAGAGAGGGTGTGAGATTTCAAACGCTTGCAAATTTATGTATGTAATTTTTCGTCTCATTTCTTCTTTGTTTTTCAAGTTGAGCTGAGAGCCGAGCCTGACCGCTAGTCCGCTCAAGCTTTGAATCTAAATAGAAGTGATAATCAAAACAATATCACAATCTTCATCAGCTACGTTAACTGTTTGAGGACGAAGTGGATACATCAATTGACCAAAGGAAAAATTAGCGGCACATTTTGAACAATATTATTATTTTATTGTACTCAAGTTGCAACCTGTTTACTTTTATTCAAGTTTCAAATAAATAAAACAAAAAAAAAACAAGTGTAGATGGATAATAAGAAAGTTAATATGCTTCTTTTTTATAGTGCCCCGCAATAGCACGGTTCAACGAGTTAATGAATGATTCCCTCTTTGAAATAAATAGTTTCCGTAACCCATAAAATCAGAGAGCACATTCTGTTTATAATCTATTCGGAACGAAAGCGAAAAAACGGAGTGATCTAATGCAACATCATTTAAAACATCAGCGATCAATGAACGGCCTTGTTAAACATTTCGTGAAACCAATATGATATTTAATGACTAATGTATACAAAAATTGTAGTAAATTGTTAACAGTTTCAATGAGGGTTTAAATTTCATTTCAAAATAGGCCTAAGGTGGGTCGGTGGATATGTGGAGCTAATTACGATACTCTTACGAAATATTTTTATTAGCATAATTTTATTTGCCCGTGGCAAGCTATGGTCTGTAACGTAAACCTAGCAACGCCCAATTGAAGAATTTTATTTATGTTTTGTTTTGTCTTTAAATGCAAGTGTTATACGCCTCTATCGACACAATTTAGATAATTTAGGAGGCGGGCTTCAATCCTAACTGTCAGGATCAGCCCAAGCTGAGAAGAGTACAATGTCCAAACAGAAAATTATAGACGTGGTTACTCGGTTAAAATTCTCCCCACAACGGAATCGAACTCTTATCGCTACACCACAAACTCGAGTAGTGGCAAGTTTAGGAAAAAGGTAATGGTAGGGGGTCATACAACTGTTTTTATAAACTGTGGGTTTATAACACATACAAATACACATACACGCGCGCACGCACGCACGCACGCACGTACGCGCGCACGCACGCACACACATACACACACA